GGTGTCCCCCTGCCACCGCCTGCCTCCCTCTGCCTCCCGTTGCCATGGTTTTCTCTTCTGCCTCCCCCAGTGCTTCATGAACTCCATCCTGCAGTGCCTGAGCAACACCAAGGAGCTGCGGGATTACTGCCTGCAGAACCAGTACCTGCGGGACCTCAACAACAACAGCCGCATGCGCACCGCGCTCATGTCAGGTAACCATAACTCACTGGCCCCTGGCTCTGCACCCTGTGGGACACCTGCAGCATGTCCTTGCTCCCCTGGGCCACCCCATGTCCTGGAGGACCCCCATCCAGAGGTCACTGCTTCTCCCCAGCCTTGCTGGGGCAGGCGCTGTGCTGTGGGTGCCCAGCCAGTGGGAGGATTGGGTCCCCTCTCCAGAGGGGCCTGGGCGGTCACAGGTACCCCAGAGTGGGGTGCTGAGCTCTCCCCTGAAGAGCTGGTTGGGCCCAGCTGTGCTGCTGACCTGCCTCTCTGCCCACAGAGTTTGCAAAGCTGATTCAGCTGCTCTGGACCTCGTCCCCCAACGACAGCGTGAGCCCCTCCGAGTTCAAGACGCAGATCCAGAGATATGCCCCCCGTTTCGTTGGCTACAAGTAAGGGGTGTTGGTGTGGGGGTGACGAGGGAGCTGAGCCCGTGCCACCGCTCACCAGCTGTGCCCCGTGTCTTGCAGCCAGCAGGATGCACAGGAGTTCCTGCGGTTCCTCCTCGATGGGCTGCACAGTGAGGTGAACCGTGTGCTGGTGCGGCCACGGGCCAGCACGGACACCTTGGACCACCTCCCGTAAGTGGTGGATGGGGTGGAGGCAGTGGACGAACCCCATGGACGAGATCACTGCCTGCAAGCCCGTCCCAGGGACAGTGACCACACGGGTGCCTCTGGGCTGGATTGCGGGGGCTGGCGTCCCCCAGGCCACACTCAGTACCACTCTGTCTCCCCATGTCTTGCAGTGATGATGAGAAGAGCCGCCAGATGTGGAGGAGGTACCAGGAGAGGGAGGACAGCCGCGTTAGTGGTGAGCAGGGCCGTGGGGTGAGGAGGACAGGCCAGGGCTGGGAGCAGGGCTGGGAACTGGGGGTCTCACCCTGCTTTTTTCCATTCCCACCAGACCTCTTCGTTGGGCAGCTGAAGAGTTCTCTGACTTGCAGCGAATGTGGCTACTGCTCCACAGCCTTCGACCCCTTCTGGGACCTTTCCCTGCCCATCCCCAAGGTAAGGGGTCCCCGACAACCCCCAGCTCCCTGCCCCACACACCCTGTCACTGAGCCGCACTGTGCTCCCACAGAAAAGCTACGGAGAGGTGACCCTCATGGACTGCCTACGGCTCTTCACCAAAGAGGACGTGCTGGATGGGGATGAGAAACCGGTATGGGGTGTGGGGCATAGGGGCAGGTGGGCTTGCCTTGGTGCAGGCTGGGCCCCTTTCCCTCCATGCCTGTGTTGCCAGGACCGTGGGCTCAGTGCCCAGCAGGGCTGGCCTCTGCCCTCACCCTCCTGCTTGTGCTATTTGTCTCCCACAGACATGTTGTCGCTGCAAAGCCAGGACGAGGTGCACAAAGAAATTCAGCATCCAGAAGTTCCCCAAGATCCTGGTGCTTCGTATCCTTCAGACAGAGAGATGGGGCCGGGGGGACCTGTGGTTCCTCACAGGCTCCCCTTTGTCCCTTGGCTCCTTGACATGACCCCCCAGACCTGAAGCGCTTCTCAGAGGCCAGGATACGAACGAGCAAGCTCACCACCTTTGTCAACTTCCAGCTGAAGGACCTGGACCTCCGGGAGTTTGCCTCGCAGAGCTGCAGTGAGTGCCGGGCCCTGCGTGGCTCCAGCCCAGTCCTGGGCTCCCAGTGGCTCCTGGCTGGGTCCCACATGTCCCCCAGGGTCCTGCAGCTTGCAGTGGGGTGCAGAGGCACAGGGGATGGGAGCCGCAGACATCCAGGGTGCTGGTCCCTCCTGGCCCCAGCTCCATGCTGGCATGTTGGGGGGCAGCAGGGCAGGCACCGGCACCACTGACCACCACCCTTGCTCCACACAGACCACGCTGTTTACAACCTCTACGCCGTCTCCAACCACTCGGGCACCACCATGGGGGGACACTACACTGCCTACTGCAAGAGCCCCGTCTCCAGCGAGTGGCACACTTTCAACGACTCCCGGTGAGGCTGCACGTGGGACAAGGGCGGCTGTGGGGTCAGAGCAAGCCAGGGCCTCCTGCCCCGGGCATCCCGACGCCTTGTCCCCATTGCTAACAGCACATCTTCTCGTCTCCACAGTGTTACCCCGATGTCATCCAGCCACGTTCGCAGCAGCGATGCCTACCTGCTCTTCTACGAGCTGGCCAGCCCGTCCTCCCGCATGTAGCCAGCCCTGCCTCCCTGGGGACCCCCTGCGCCTCTCCTCAGAGCTGGCCCCTCCAGGTTTTGGCCATTTGCCCCCCAGGTGCAAGAAGGTGGTGAAGAGGAGAAAAACAGAGGTGGCTGCAGCAGGAGGCTGGAGGCGGCCACGAGCAGACCCCATGCAAGGACACCCCAGCTCCAAACTGAGGAGGGCAGCCCATGGCAGGGCAGGGCCCAGGCAGCTCAGGCGCCTCCTGGTTGCTGGCATTTGGTTTTTATGTTGCGGTACGTTTTAGTTCTTTCTTTTTTTGTTTTTTTTTTTGTTTGTTTGTTTTTTTGTTGGTGGTGGTGGTGGTGTGGAATAAAAACACTGAGCAAGGGACTCTGCAGGCATGGGGCTGCCTGCCCCATTGACTCAGCCAGGACCTCTGCTCCCCTGGGGGAGCACCCAGAGCTGGGGACCCAGGAGAGCGTCCCACATACCTCCTGGCCTCTTGGCACTCCCATTCTGCTTGGCCGTCCCAGAGGATTCGTGAACTGCTCCCGGCCTCCTCCCGGCACCTCCGAACCTCCTGGCAAAGGACCCTGGCCCTTCCGTTGCCTCCATCCCATCTCAGGCAGCACGACCCCACCAGCTGCCCCATGCAGGCTCCTCAAAGCAGCCTGAGTTCAAGCCCAGACTCATGGACAGGAGAGAGGAACAATTTTTGTGGAATTTCTATGTATTTATAATGGACTTTGCTCAACCTGGAGCACCCTGCCGCTTCCTGGCTCTTCACGGACATGTGCCGGGGGATGCTTTGGGTAGGTTTTTACCTGCCTCCTCATACGACGGTGCCTTAAACCATTTAGGGGAGTGGGAGGCCAGGGGGGCTGCACAGGAGCATCCATCCTGCAGAGGAGAAGGAGGGGAGAGGACAGTGGCTTTCCGGGACCATCCGTGCTTGGGGCTTTCTTCTCCCTGTGATGAGGAGCCCCCCTGGGTACCCGGGGATGTGCATCCCCACCTGCCCTGTTGCTCTGTCCTCCAGCTAGCAAACGCCAGTGGCCTTTTTAGCCTTTTCTCTAATTTATTCTCCTCCCCATCCTGCCTTGCCTGAGGTGCAGCGGGAGGAGAGATGGGCTCCACCCAGCACAATCCCAGCCCCAGCCCCCAAGGCAGCTACATCCAACCCAGCAACCCATCCTGGTCCTGCTTCACCCTCGCTGGCCCTGCGGGCACAGGCTGAGCACCATGAGCATCCCGGCGGGGCTCAGGGGAGGGCAGGCCAGGATGGAGGGGCTGCCCGCGGCAGGTACCGGACTGGGGCAGCATTGCTCCTTGGCAGGTGGCTTGTTTACTGTGTAAGCAAGATGGGCGGGAAGTGTCTCGTACAAGGGAGACTCATGCAGGAATAAATTTTAGCTTGAACAGAGCGCTGTGTGCGTGTGCTTGTCTCTGGGCGGGCAGACGCGGGGCTGTGGCTCCAGCGGTGGGAAGGAAACTGCCGCTGGTGCCGGAGCAGCCTGCCCATGGGTGGTTCCAGAGGCCCAGGAGCACCCGTGCCCTGGGGCTTGCCTGGGATAAGGGAGACGTGGGTGCAGGCCCGTGGTGCCCAGAGGCAGAGGGAGCCTTTCCTCTTACTCCAGCCCTGTGGAGCTCCCCAGTGCCCATGCTCTTCTCCTAAAGCCCCTGAACAATGGCCCCTTTCTCCCCTGCTTAGGGATGGAGAGGGGCACCGAGGCTTTAAGGGGCAGCGGGAATGCAGGTGGCAGGGCTCAGGCGCCCAGTGCCAGGGAGGCGCGAGGGAAGGAGGGACACGTTCAGCTCGGGCTCCACGACGCAGCCCCTTCAGTGCCAACCCTGTGCCAGCGGGGAGCCTGGAGGCAGCAGGGAAACCGACGGTGCCTCCGCGCCCCCAAAAGCAGGATCCCCAGCAGGACGGGCTCCCAGCGGGGTGGGTACAAGCACACCTTCCCCTTTAAGACGCTGGTTTCTCCGTGCCAGAGCCTGACCTCGGCATCCTCAGCTGAGCTGGATTAACGGGTCTAGGGGGAAGGGGCCTGCAGAGGGGACTGGGGCCGCCAGACTCCCGGGGCTCCCTGCACTTGCGGCACAGCGGGCATGGCCCTCGGGGAGCCGTGGGGTCCGATGCTGGCGCGGCACGTATAGGTACAGCTGGCACTGCCACCCGGTGCATAGAGCGGGGGTTCCCACGCCGCCCCGGGACCCATGGGGGCAGCC